GTTGTAAAGATATTTACAAATATAATGTATTCATGTCAAAATAAGCATAAAGCATGTCATGAAAGAATTATAGAATAATAAGTTACCCATCAGCATATTTACATGTACAAAAAGGAATGTTGTGCCTTGTATCTGTTATATGACTATTCAGAGAAAAGTTTGGTTAAAAAACTGTAGCAGTGAAGTTTTCATTTGATTTGACAAAAATATAAAATTTTGTAATTCACAATTCATTTGACAGTCTACAGTAGTAAAAATACCAGTTTAAAGCTTGATTGTGAAAAAGTATGCTGTTTTTTCCTGTTTTTTTGTTACAAAAAGTTTTTGATTTAAGTGTTAATTTCAGATCTATATTTATTTGATACCCAAATTGAGCCTCAGCTGACGTTTTTTTTATTTAACTGTGAAGATTGTTTAATTTTCTTAAGCACACACTCAGAGAGCACACATATTCATTGGCCTACTTCTGCATGCTTAATTTTACACTTTTACATTTGTGAAATTGAAATTCCTATATAAATTATATTTGAAGATGTCTGCTTATTTACCTGCATGGTAACAATGAGTAATTTCATGTAATTGAAAACAACTTGAAATTTATAGAGTATTCTCAAGAAGCTGTTGTGCATAATCTGCATATATTTAGTGGTACTTGTGCATTGGTTGTGATAAAATTTAAAATGGGGTCAACTTGTAATATTAAAGTTATAAATGAAATATTTTAAAAAAAAAACTAAAAAAAAAAACAAAAAAAGAACGATTTCTAGCAGAATTTGATGGATATAGAATAGGTTTAATAGTCAGTTTCAGTTTTCCACAACGTTATGTTACTCTTGCAGTCCCTCACTCACCCAACTATTCTTAGAAAATACCTTTAAGTCACTTGAGTGAAAAATTTAAGCATTAAAGGATTAAGAATAGAATTAATATTTACATCAGTGCAACATTTTTTGAATGTAAATTATTAAATTGTAAAAACACAGCCGGTTTGGAAAACATTCAACACTTATGTCAACTTTCAGTGACCTATAGTTGTTCAATTCTACATGATTTGGTCTCTGGTGGAGAGGTGTCTCATTGGCAATTATACCACATCTTCTTATTTTCACATTAGTTTTAAGTAAATGACAGAATGGCTAGGCAAATATGACTATCAAGCAAAGTATTGGAAAGACACAGACAGAAATAGGAAAACACAATTATACATTGGAAAATAACATGAGTACTCAAAATATCTGAACAATTGTTGCACACAAGTAAAGTGTGGGAATGCCCAACATAAGTATGAGATAAAGGACGAAACAATTAGGATAGGAAGTATAACAAGATAAGCATTGATATTTTGTCATTTACACGATTTTAAATACCGTATTCATTGACGCATTTAATTAGTTTTGTTTCAAAGTAATATTTTATGATATTATTGATTAATATTTGTTGAGTGTTGATTTGAGATAAGTATTTATGAATATACAGTCAATAATTTTATAACAGACTTCATGGCTATTTTACTGTATGAAACTATGGGAAAGAATAAAACTTCGAAAGCCTCACTTGGACTTTAAGTAGTTCGTTTACTTTGGGTTTTGTCAGCTTTAGGGATTTTGTGTCATGAATTAATAAACCTTATCCCTTATTTTCAATTAAATTAAATGTACTGGTAATATGAATGCTATTGAGACAACTGACTTGTCCACCAACTACCATAATAGGAGAAAGTGGGTGTCTCTTTGCCACAGTATTGCCTTCAACAATGAGCAAAGCTCCTCCATAATTCAAGCTGCAAATGACGTTCTCTAAAAAATAAAGTTGAACAATTTTAACTAGACAACTAAAGGCCTTGTTAAAGTAAATCAAAGATGACACAAACATATTCCACTTCATGTAGCCACAATTTGACCCTCCTCTGTTCCGTAATGACACCACTAAATGTGACTTCTCACCAGATTATTGCTTGAAATGAGCAACACAACAGGTTCTTCTAGTGTAGCAGAAACTGCTTATCTTTCCAATGAACCAAGGCTAAGTAATATCCCAATGTTTTGGAGGTTTTAATGTTTCTCAATCTTTAGTTTTCTATTTTTCTCTATTATTTTGGTCATGATGTCTCTTTTTCTTCCAAAGTATAAAGTAGTTTGTTTTGATTAGGGACTTCATAAGTTTGCTTTTAGAGGGATTGCAGTTTCTTATGTCCAAGAAATGTTAAATGTGAAATTTAAAGTTAAGACTTTATATTTTGAATAAAAAATCTGCTATTGAAAAAGTCACAAAATTTACAATGAAACTGTTTGCTGATACTGAATGTTGAACTTTAAAAAATCTGGCAGCAAAAGGGGAATGTTTTTACTTTTCCATTGACAGAGAGTATTTCTGTATTCATTGTCATCCTAAATTTATGGTACACTTTTGACCTTGACTTCAAATGTCACACATTTCTTGTTGAAATCAATGAAATTGAATTGGATACTTTGTAGACAAGAAAACACATGTTCTAAATTAGAATATAAAACTCCAAATTCCATGTTTAAAAACTTTAAATCAGCAGGTTTAAAACAGATTTTAAAGATTTACTACTTTTTCTTATAGAATCCTAACAAAGTCAAGATGTCAGTGAAAATTTACAGTTGTATTTCAATTAAATTCCTAGTGATTTCTGCCATGGTGGTAGTGAAGCTCATTTGCATATATATGTTGACAACAAATAATGTGAATAAAAATGGAAACATTTCATCGTTTGAAAGCATTAATTTATAATGTTGCTTTGTAAGTCTGAATGGTTAATCGGTGGGATATTACTTATGTCTCATGGTGGGTGTTTCAAAAATAAATATTATTTTCACATCTTTTTAAATAGGTAATTTAAATTTAGAAAAATCCCTGACTTCCAGAGGAGTTGAATTGTATAATGGTACCTTTTGAACCATGATTTAAGAAATAGGCTAGATTCTTAATAGATCATGCTAAAAGATGGTTTGACATTTACCAGGAATTTAGATGTTTGCTTGTTTTTTTTTTTTTTTTGCATTTTAATGTCATTGTCATTTGTTAAGCTCAAAAGTTTTTAGCAATTTAATAATATTGAGGGCTTTCTAAAGGCTTTTAAAAAAACGAGGAGAGGATTAAAGGCCTAAACAAACAAACAAAGCAGAGAGCTCTTAAACAAAGAACCAAATAGACACATCCTTTACAAATATATGAAAAGGCATGCATAATATAGAAAGGATGATGGCTATTTTTAACAAGAAAGATACAAAAAGAGTCTCCCAAACAAAGATGCAAGACAGAGTAAACCTTAACAAAGAACCAAATAGACACACCCTATACAAATATATGTAAAGGCATGAGGAACACAGAAAGGATGATGTTTGAAAGAAAGATGCAAAAGAGAGAGTCACAAACAAATATATAAGACATAGTAAATCTAAAGATCAAAAGAGAGAGTCACAAACAAATATATGAGACATAGTAAATCTAAACAAAGATAAAAAGATCTAGAAAAGTCCAAATATTAAAAACGGCCTACCTTAAAATACTAAACCGTAACCTTAAAAAACTAGTTCATAATAGAAATAATGATTAAAAAACCTCTAAAAAGAGATATAAAATGAAAAGATCAAAAGAGAGATTCAGTAAGAAAATGCCTGATCAAAATCGAAGAAATATGTTCGAAAAAGGAAGATTTGTTAAAGAGTGCAAGTCTGAAATATTTGATTCTGTATCCAGTCACTGGGGATGTCTTCTTTTACCATGTACATCAGTAAAAAAAATGGAAATAGAATTATTATAATAGAAAGTATACTTCAATTAGTTAAAGTATTGTGAAAAATTAATTATCTTGTAGATAGAATAAAACAAAAGCATTTTAAAGAAAGGGTTGATAAATAGTTGTTTGATTAAATTACTTAAACTCCATATAAATTTGTCTAGGATAAATTATGAAAAAATAAATAAATACATATTTTAGATAAAAAAAAAAAAATGAAATTGAAACAGTTTAATAGTGAAAGAAAACTAGAGTTATAAAACACACTGGTAATATAGAAGTTGGATGATATTTTGTTTTTCAAACTTTTGAATTTATTCCAGGTCAGTTTTGTTAAATAAAACTGAACAAATATTTGCCAACTTTTTTCAGTAAAACAGATGGAAAAATAGATTATTTTTAATTTTTAATTTATAATTTAAGTTTAAATAAATAGGTACAATCTCTTGAAAAAAAAAGAAAAAAAATCCCTCACATTTGATTTTAGGTCACAATTGACATTGGAATAGATGACAGCAATTACTATAATATATTATGATATAATTGGTCCTGGATTGATCCTACTCAACAATTACATAATATTATAGATGTAAAATCGTAGATATGTTTACTTTACATTGTATAGACTACCTTGAGTAATAGATTTTTTTAAAGCATAAAATTTTACTTGGAATTTATTTTCTTTTTTAGAAATGAATCATGTTGACTTAAAAATAGGGTTGCACTAGTTAAGAGTGCATAAGATCAGAGATTCTTTATTTCCAGAGTGGTTTAATTTTGACAATGGCATTAATTTATTGCCATGCATAGACACACCAACAGGGAACCTTTTCCATATAAAAAACTTGATACATGAGTGCCTCTTTGAAGTCATTGTAGACTATTGAACAGAACTATTCTGGATCAGAATAGAACTGTCAAAGTGTCGGAAGACTATAATTGAAGAACATTTAATTTCGATTTCATATTTATGTCATTGGGTTTCCTTACACTGGCTCCTTATAAATAGATGTTATATATACAAGTAAATTATGATTAACAGTAATTTACAGTACATGAAGGTGTGAATGTATTTAAGCCCAAGGATACAAAAAAGGGTCTTGTTCCTTATTTAAGGTCATGTGTTGAACTTTAAGATGAGTGTATTTGGTTAACTCGACTGCTGCTATTTTCCTATGACATTTATTTCTAATTTCTCTTCATTTTGTAGTGTTAATTTTTGACTTTTGTTTTCTAGGTGGCTTGGCGAAAATCAAAGAAAAGATAAAGAGACAACAAGAGAAAGCTTCTCCGAGAGGTAAGTGATGTTAACTAAGGATAATCTTCTCCTTTGTCATAAGGTGGAGACATTTACCAGGAATTAAGATATTTGTCTCAGTACTCAATACTATTAAAGGTAAGTTGTTTATTCAAAAGATAATCAGAGTTGTAAAAAAGACATCTCTTTCGTCAAAGGGTAGAGAAGGTGTTGCTCCCTGTAACTAGAAAGAGGTGGTTAAGTTACTGAAAATCAAGCCAAATAAAATCAAGAAGTCTGTCCTTTCCTGTGTTTATTAAAAACAAGTGTTTTTGCTCATAAGACAAAACTAGGTCAGATTCTTCATTTACTATTTTGCTTATTTAAAAATTGTTACCAATTCACTTGAATAGTTCTTACCCAGTACCATGAAAATTGATACATCAGAGCACATTGTTATTTGGGTCGGATATTGCCTCACTGTATGGGTTAGCTTTTTCCTCATTTATAACAATTTTAATCTGACTTAAATTTCAGAGTATCACTAGCACTGGGTCATAACTTGTTTGAATGTTTCAAATGATATCTTATTCTTCCGTACCTTTTAGGTGCCACAAGGTTGAATATCTGCAATTTCATTGTTTCAAACTTAGTTCAGCTTTAATAAGTAAAACATCTTGACTAAAGATGTATCTTAATATATATTTCAAATCTGGCTCAGTATTTTTAACCGGATTTTCAAAGGAAAATTTCAGCTATTTTTTTGGCAATGTACTGCCAAATAGTGTCCGTGCAATAACATGAAAAAGCTTTCACGAAATCTTTTCAAATTTAGATATGTTGTTTCCTGTGACTAGATGAAGGTCAAACTTGATTTTTACAATTTTACATTTTATCGTTGTTGAATTGTAGATCTTAAGAAGCAACAAGTGATACTTAGAGTGTTTTTTCTTGTTTTAGAAAACTATCTACCCTGGTACTGTTTTCTGCAGGATCTCATAAACCATAGTTTTCTTTGGGGACATTATTCATTATGTCCCCTTGGTATCTTACACCTTTTTTTTGTCTAAAAATATTAAGATAAAAGTTTGTTGTAGTTTTCTATTTTAAAGATTCTGTTTAACCAATAAAGAAGATGGCATATCTCCTTTTATTTATCATTGCTACCTTCTGTGATTTTAACTTGCATCATAAAGCAGAAACACTTAATTTAGATTTTTATGCCCCCCACCGTAGCGGAGGGGCAATAAGTTTTACCCTTGTACGTAAGTCCGTCCGTCCGTATGTCCCAAAGTTGGTTTCCATTCTCTAACTTTAGTTTGCTTCAACCAAATGTTATGAAACTTATACAAAATGCTTATTACCACAAAACACAGATCAAGTTTGAATTTTGGTGGTATCACTTTTACTGTTCTAGAGTTATGGCCCTTTACAAATGGACAAATTGCTGAATTTTTCGTTTCCGTTCTCTAACTTTAGTTTTTGGCTCAACCAAATGTTATGAAACTTATACACAATGCTTATTACCACAAAATATAGATCAAGATGGAATTTTGGTGGTATCACTTTTACTGTTCTAGAGTTTTGCCCCTTTACAAATGGACAAATTGCTGAATTTTTCGTGCCTCAACCAAATGTTATGAAACTTATACACAATACTAATTACCACAAAACTCAGATCAAGTACAAATTTGGGTAGCGTCAATTTTAACGTTCTTCAGTTTTGTTCCTTTATAACTTTATATGATATGCAAGCGGGGGTATCGTCTGTGTCCCATGGACACATTCCACATTTAGTTCTTCTTCGAAAGATGTATAAGTAAAAATAAATATTTGTTTGGTGATGATATAAGTTTCAACACACACAAAAAAAAACACCCAAATAAACATTTTGAGAATTTAGAAAAGAGGTTGGTAAATGATTAAAAAAGTTTTGTGCTATATGAAAAAGGTATATTTATGTATAAGAATAAGAATAAGAATATTTATTATTCCAATCAAGGGCCCTTGGTGGGCAACATAACATGTACACATAAAACAATACATCATGATTTGTAACAGAAAAACATTTTTATATATTAAAATGAAACATTGAAAAGTTCAGACAGATGTTATTATCTTCATTCTATAAAAAATCACATACATTTAATTCCAGGCAGGATCAGAACTATAAAATCATTACAATTATCATTGTTATTACATACATTAATTAACATTTCGTCTAACATCTAGACATGTAATAATATAGCTCCCTAAATATTTAAGTATAGACAAATTTTCATTAGTAAATAACCAAACAAATTTTGCCTCATTTGAAAGATATATAAAATTGGGACAGATACAGTTTATAAGGAATGAAAACAATGTTATTTTTACATTCATTTTTTCTAATACAACAAAATTTTAAGAAAAGACTCTTTGCAGATCACTAGGATGAAAAGAAAAGTCATTTTGGATATTATACATGTATATGTATCACCTAGGGAATTAAATAAAATTTAACCAAACATGCAGAGTGTTAAATATTTGATCAAGTGAACATTCCATTAATGTGTGTTTGTACAAAAGTAAAATTTTAATCAACGATACATTTGACATATGTGAATATACCTATCTGATATTGGCATATCTTAAGCATAGTTCTGTTTACTAAAGATAAAGTATTTAACAAGTGAAAATTAGACCTCAGAATTTTGTTTGATTGCAAAGAATTCAAATGTCTATCTGAACATAAAAATGTGCTGACTTTTTGTATGTGCAAACTGAACAAAAGTTAAATTATTCCAGTATGTATATAAATGTAAGAACGAGAGAATGATATTGAATAGTAATTTAAATAGAAACGATGCAAAACATCGCTTTTGACTGCATTATTTTATGAATGGTTTTTATGCTATCGTTATTTAAACCCCAAAAAAAATGCTGTATAGATGAAGTCAGGTGTAAATCCACTTTGATCACTGTCTTTTTAATGTTTTTATGTAACAATGTGTTTTTTTTAATTTCCCCACTTCAAAGAAACTGTAATTTGCAAAAGTGCATGTCTAAGATCGAAATCGAAATCGAAATCGAAATTGAAATCTGTGATAGATAACATGTTTTGTTCACTATTGTATCAGCGATAGGATTCCAGTGACAAGATAGATGTCCTAATGAGCTTGACTTGTTTAACATTTCTCAATTAAATATCATTATAAAGTTAATTTTAGATGTAATTTCAAATTAAAATCTTTAGACTTCTAGGAAGCTAAGCTCTTCAAAAGTATTAGTATTCCCACACAGAGAGACAGAGTTACCAGTTATGTATTATGCAATCGTTTAATTAAAACAGCCGATTTGTTATATAATCCTGTTACAATGGTGGAAACTGTGTATGAGAATGTTTAACAGGTGTTGTGGGGAGTATCACATACCATACATGTTATAACTGTACTGTATATCAAGCCTCCCACAAATGTCTACCCAATTCAGTAGTTTATTGTTGATGGGAGTGTAAATCTCTTGGTTACATGTGCATGTACTAAGTTATTGTCCTTTGATATTGAGTTTTTAAGAGTTGCATCCTTTGAATAAGGGGTGAATACATAGAGCTATCCTCGTTTGAAAATATTGAATACGGAATAATTCAGAAGCAAAAAACTGAGGTATACAAACTCAGGCATTTTGAAAATGGCATTAATTAAGAATAAAATGAATAAAAAATCTTATAAGACATTCTTTAAGTTTATGCATTTTTGTTTCAATTTCAAATTCCATTGTGTAAATCAAGAGGATGTTCAAAAATTATTATTCAATGAAAAGAAGGTCCAGTAAGTTTTCATGGAGTTATTGGTTTTATGTCCAACCTTAGAATTTCAACTTAGTCAAAAATTATCAAAAAGGTCATAAATTGGTTCTTAAATGGATCTATTTCCGAAGCCTTACTGCTACATAGTAAATCAAATATCTTCATAAAAGTACATTATTTATAAGTCAGCACATTTTGGAGATGTTGTTGAAAAAAAAATGATTTTGTGCATTTTCCGGACCTAAAGTCTTTAGGAAAACCTTGGCAGCAACCTACAATCCAAAACAATCTTTAATCAAAAGGTCCCCAAATTTATCTTGTATCCCTAGGTACAACAATTTTCTCGATGGGTTGTGGTCAAAGTTAACCCTTTTCTAACTGTTATAAATTATAAAAAAAATAATGCATAATTAAGGGGTCATAAATTTGTAATTTATAATGGAATGTGTCAAAAAGAAGTTATTTTGTAATAAAACTTATATCACAACTATTTTTTTTGTAAAATTTGTAGTTTTTGGACAGATTTTAAAAATATTGAAATATTAGGGCCTATTTTAATCCTTTAGTGAACCTGCTCCTTTGTTAATTTCCATAATGAAATATTCATTCAAATCATCATTGCATGATGTTGAAAATATTGCCCCAAATACTTTAAAACAACTGAATTTATCAAGCAATTTACTTTCATAACTTTCTCAAGTAAACAAATATGGCTGTATATAAAATGTCACAACCTTGGATCTTTTTTGCATGAAAACATCACCAAAATTACAAAAAAGGAAAAATGAATCTGTGCAGGTTAGTTGCTTTATTTAGGTTAGTTCAGATGATGTTCAGATGAATGAACCAAATTTCAAAGAATCAGCTTCTGCATTGAAATTAGATTTTGAAGACTTGACCATGTAAATGTTTGATTATACAGCTCTAGATATAGATCTGTATTTAAGCTTTGTTATCCACGTCTTTTGAGCTTTGTCTATCGGTTCAAAAGTTTTGAAATTGTGTTTCGACATAAGCAGTATTTAAAACCAGTACAGAAATTTGTTGGTATTTATTGATGTTTTCTGCAGTTGCATGTAGTTGAGGGATTTTTTTTTTTTTGTCAAGGAAAAGATCAAGCACTTAAATTATTATCTGCTCATATTTTTATAAAAAAAAAAGTCTTTACATTCCCCCCAAATTAAAAATTGATTATCATAAATCTGCATGCTTATGTAAAATAACATAAGATTCTTGTAGTAAAACAAAAGTCCAAGGTCAGATATGGTAGTTT